ATCTTTATTACTTAACTAATTACAAGTTTACTTCAGTATGTCTTTACTCTGACTGACTTAACATAATGTATATCTCCAACTGGAAGACATGATGCCCCTTTATGACCTTAACATTGGCGGTATGCCTATTCTGCTGATCCAGCGGAATCTATGGGAACTAGTCACATAAGTGCTGCTGATGTAGCGGGATTCGTGGGAACTGGCCACATAACTCATGTTTAAACATGTAAAATGTACAAACCTGCAGGTCAAAGCATTGAATCGACGAGATAGTATTTTTTGAACCCATGTGGTTTCCAAAAATTAAAAATTTGTATCTATTTAATGTACTGAGCGTAGTTTTTTGGGATTGGAACCCTGTAAAAGGTGGTTTTTACAGGTACAGAAATTTAAATTGAAATAAAACTCATACAATTCCTGATAGGGTCATGGTACTGGCTTTATTGAAAAGACAATTATATGGCATTATAGCTTAAGTATGATTTGGGGTATTTGGGTGCCGCGGTTGGCTCGAATGAAGAGCAATCCACGGAGGAAGTCCAATTTTCTACCACTTAAATTATACTAGACCATAAAAAACCACATCAAACAGTAAGTTTTCTTGGACATACCGGCGCCTCATTAATGGCTTTCGGATTTTTAATTTTCGCGGCTCCAAATTCGACTATTTTTTTCGAAAATGGCTGCTCAGTTTGCCAATTTCACCTGCGCTACGTTTATTTTACGGTCGACATAATCGTTTTTGGCGTAAATGAACAAAATTGGCGGATTAAGCAGCAACGAAATTCCAGAAGCCATTATTGAGACCCCGTCACATCCAGAAAAACTCACTGTTTTTTGTCCTTTACGGTCTGAAAGAAGTATGGAAGTGGTCGAAAATTGGACGTCCAGAATGCTCTTCATTTGAGCCAGCCCAGATGCCCAAATCATATTTAAGCTATAATGGCAAACAATTGTGTGTTCAATAGATCCAGTTAACATGATGTTAGTTAGTTTTATTTCAGTTTAAAGTTCTATACATCTAAAAAACACCCTTTACAAGTAGAAAACACGAGTTTGTTTATGAATAATTTCAACTGTAAAAATAACCCTCCGTTAATCTATTGCAACAAAAGTTTTGATGTAGATATATCAGATAAATAAATATTTTTAGTAATCTATGCCGCAAAGGGCCATTTTACTCATCACACTTTGGGCTATCCTTTGACTTAGTCGTTATACTAAACGTCTACCTCTCAATATCAATATTCAACATTTTGCTTTTTTTTTGGTAGTAAATCCGTGTTATATTCAATACAAGTCAGATTCTCATTAGTTAATATTCTGAAGACATTATCGAAGTTAAGAAAGTAGCCTTGAAGAATATAAAGTTATTCAACCAAAGGGAGGCAGTAAGGAAACCCGTGGGGCCTGGATTAAGTACTGTCCCGGGTACTGCCGTGAGTCGCTTGGGAAAAACAAATGTAAACATACGAAAATACACACAAAATACAGAAAGTCGCCAAGATTAGATAACTCAGTCAAGTGATATTCTGCAAGAGATAAATCAGATTAGTTTACTGTAGGATTTTGCGGGAAACAATTCTAAAGAGGTGCAAAACTCTTGTGCTCAGATTCAATTTATACACTCTCCATACTTATATTTATCTATCTTGATTCTGTCCATATATTTAAATAAAAATATCAGTTTAGAAATTTTAATTTAAGAATTAATGCAAAGCGTTAAAAATGTTACCCCACACACATCACTCGAAAAATATTGTTTATATCGAGGATTTTCGTTTTCGGTTTGTAAATATTTACCTTAAATTAATTTATATTAAAAAATGTTACGTAAAGATAGTAGTAGTAAAAGTACAAAAAGTAAAAGTATGCGAATTTTGCAGCAATTCGACCTCATGTAGTCCAAATAATAGAATATAACAAAATGTTTACTGTTAAAGGATAATCCTGACTAACAAATCTCAAACATTAAACCATCTTGAAACTGCTCCGAGACAAGCTGGACAGCCCCGAATCTACATCTCACACATATTTGTAATGTTACTAAAATCCATAATCAAGTAAAAAGGACTTTATTTGAGATATTTACATTTTTAATCTCTTTGCACATATTTCATCATGTCGCTTTCCATTTCTCGATATATTTAAACCTGCGAACTTGCCTGACTCTTCCCTTTAATTCAGGTAAATATCCATTTGATTTCGCTCTGATATATAAATCAATGACGTCTCATTTCATTTAGCAAAATCCATTGTGTCTCACCTAGTATGTCTATACTGTCAACTTGTTTGTGCCGTTTTCGATTCGTGAAGCATTTAGTTCTAGCATTGTGAGAAATTGCAATTGAGAGAAAAAATAACCAGTTTTAACACTTGTTTTATTATATGATTATCGATAGTGTGATCCTACTGGATCAAAGTTTGGAAAGTGATAATTACATTTAGATAAAATTTGCTTATTTAATTTTCGCATTTGATATGAGCAACTAAATTCTCTTTTACACTAGATACTTTAATTAAAAGTTTCTTGTCCGTGTCCGTACCTAATGTTATCATTCTTCAAATCTATTTTCAAATTAAAAAAATGTAAAATCAAAATTGTTTATTCAATCCCTACTGGAAAGCAATATTTTTCTTCTTGGATTAAATGGTTAATTAAAAATTATTAATTAATAAATTAAAAAAATTAAACATTGTGTCATATCCAATATGACATTAAAGAACAATTATTTATTTGAAACACGTTGTTGAAGTTAGTTAAACCTCTTAATTAGTTAAATTAAAAAGTATAAATAAACTGAGTCACCACAAGTTCTAATCAATTAAATAATGTATATACAGGGTGAGTCAAAATTGGCCTTATTCTTTTTAAGGGGTGATAATCCCTTAAAGATCGAATTTTAACTTTGTTATTAAGCATTATTTTGAAATCGTTCTATGTTTAATTGATAGCATATTGGAATACTTAAGAATTCAAAAAGAAAAATTACAATCTTTGCTTCAAATTACGAAAATTTTTGATATCAAAAAAGTTCTCTTCTACATTTTTTTGATAAAAAGGCACAGCGGTAATGATATTTTTTGTCATTAATAATTACAGGTGGATAGCCCTTGTCAATAATAACAATAATTTGTCAAACTGTGACTTACTTTGAATTTCCTTTCACAAATTTTGCGGATATGCGATTAGTTCAGGAAAAATCCTACAGTAACATAGCAGAAGCTGAAAGAACTCACGCCAACAAAAGGCGAGGAGAGTGGTTCCAGGAAGATAGTAGGCGACAATCGATGTTCGGGTTCCATACACAGAGGAACAAGTATTGGACATAATCAAATCAGGGCCTTCCAGGGGCACTCAGAGCACAACCACTGACACTTTCCCAGGCACCAAATAAATACCAGCTACATTCCTACCACGTTTGTACGATACACACAGCACAGGGAGATACAAATGGAGCAGGAGTTAATTAACTGAATACGAGAAGCTGCTTGATAAGAGTGGATAACAAGGAGATTACACAGGCACTAGCTTGTTTGGAGTTAACCAT